TAAATGTGTGGCATTGTCATCTTGGACACCCTTCCCGTGCTATGCTCAAGATTGTGCTTGTCTCTATGTCCACTCCAGTTTAGGATTTCTCTGTCGAGTGTCCAGTATGTCCTCTTGGTAAAGGATGTCGTCTTCCCTTTGGCAAACGGACATACACAGCTAAATCTCCTCTCGAGCTCCTTCATCTTGATGTATGGGGCCCTGGTCCAGTCGTGTCATTGTTTTCTTTTAAATACTACTTATCTATTGTTGACGATTATAGTCGGTATACTTAGTTTTTTCCTATGTTTAAAAAATCTGATGTCACTGAGTTTTTTCGTAAATTTAAATTAATGGTTGAGAACTTACTTTCATGTTCTATTAAAATTGTGCGTTCTGATAGTGGTGGTGAATTTGATAATAAATTGTTTCGTTCCCTTCTTGAGTCCCATGGTATTACCCATCAACTGTCATATCCTTACACTCCTACCCAAAAAGGTGTCGTTGAGCGGAAACACTGTGACATAGTGGAAAAAGGACGCTGCCTTTTATTACAATCTAACTTGCCACCATCCTTTTGGGTGGGGGCCTTTTTCTACTGTTGTCTTTCTGATTAACAAGTTGCCTTCACCAGTGCTCAAGCATCACTGTCCTTTTGAGGTTCTTTTTCGGCGATCTCCTGACTATAGCTTCCTGTGGACTTTTGGCTATGCCTGTTATCCATTGCTCACTCCGACTGCTACTCACAAACTAGCCCCAAGCCCTGCTCTCTGTATTTTTCTAGGGTATGACTTGTCACATCGTGGGTACTAGTGCCTCTATATTCTTACTGGTCGTATATAAATCTCTCAACATATGATGTTTCATGAGACAAAATTTCCTGGTTATGGCACCACAGTGCTTCAACTTTTCGATGATCTTGGATCTAGGCTTGCCTTTTCATCTACACCGGCCATGCCACCATCATCTACCACTATAGATCAATCTTTCGATTTAATTCCATCTGACTCCACTGGTCTTCCTCAGTCCCCATCAGCTAGTACTCATTCTTCTTCCATCAGGGATTTCCAATCGTCCCTTGACGGCTACAGATTATTTGCCTCCCTGTTCCGTAACACCACCAACATCAATCCGTCAACGGTATCGTATTCTCTATGATATTATGGCCTCCTCACATCATCTGCTTCCGCATGCTCTTACTGCAGAGACATTGGATCCTATGTTGCATGAACCGACATCCTTCAAGCAAACACAATCTGTCTCTCATTGGTGTTAGGCAATGTGTGAAGAATATAATGCCCTTCTGCAGAATAATACTTGGGTTTTTGTTCCACCTAGTCCTCATCAGAATCTTGTTGGTTGTCGTTAGGTGTACAAATTTAAATGTCGAGTAATGGGTCTATTGAACGATATAAGGCTCGTCTAGTTGCGAAGGGTTTTCATCAGCAGCCTGGTGTGGATTTTGGTGATACTTTTAGTCCCGTTGTTAAGCTTGTCACTATTTGCACAGTTCTTGCTCTTGCCACAATGCATGGTTGACCGCTTCATCAACTTGATGTTAAGAACACATTTCTCTAAGATTATCTCACTGAAGAAGTATTCATAGAGCAACCTCTCGGTTTCATTGGTTCACAACGACCCTCTCATGTTTGTCAACTTATTAAAGCTATCTATGGTCTTAAGTAGGCTCCTCGTGCATGGTACCATCGTCTACACTCTTGTTTGATTGATATTGGATTTACCAATAGCCGCTTTGACTCCTGTCTCTTCATCCACCGAACATCTAGATCTATTGTGATTCTTCTTATCTATATGGATGATCTGATTGTCACTGGTTTGGACCCCTCTACTGTCACAGATTGTGTCTTTTCGTTATGTTCTGCATTTGCTTACCGGGACTTGGGCTCTCCTAGTCTCTTTCTTAGCATGGAAGTTGTTCGGGATAATACTGTTTTGTATCTGTCTCAACGATGTTATGTGGTGGACTTACTTAGACGCTTCCAACTTGATTCTTATGCTTCATGTGTTAAACCCTTTAGCTCTTCCAAAGCATCACAGTCCTCAGATGATGATCATTTTTCCTAATATGACCCTTTATCGCAGTATGGTTAGTGGTTTTCAATATCTCATACTCACTAGGCCGGACATTGCCTTTGCTGTAAATCAAGTTGTTGAAAGATGGTCTGCTCCCACTCAACGTGATATGCGTTCTATTAAGTGAATTTTCCAGTATCTTAAGGGCACACTATTTCGTGGTCTCACTTTTCATCGCTTCCCTAGTCTTCATCTTCTTGCTTATTCTGATGTTGATTGGGCTGCTGATGTAGCTACTCGTCATTCTATATCTAGTGGTTGTGTTTTTCTTGGTCGCAATCTGATATCTTGGACTGCTAAAAAGCAATCTACTGTGTCTTGCTCCAGTGTTGAATTTGAGTATCGTGCTCTTGCCCATGTTTCTGCTGATGTCCAATGGTTTTTTTATTTACTGCGTGAGCTTGACATTCCCTTATATTCTTCCCTATTGCTTCTTTGTGACAATCAATCCGCTCTACATATGGCAGCTAATTCTGTCTTTTATGCTCACACTCAGCATATTGATATCGACCTACATTTCATTCGTGAGTTAGTTGCCCACGGGGCCCTTCGTCTTCGACATGTCCCCACTGCCTCTCAACTTGCAGATATATTCACCAAAGCCCTATCTCGTGAGCGATTTCAGTCGCTTTGTCTTCAATTGCAGCTCCGAGATCTACCGCTTTAATTGCGGGGGAGTATTTAAGGAATAAAATCATTTTGATTTTATTTGCCTATTATCACAATTATTATAATATTATCTTTCCTTATATTTTTTTATTAACTTTATTATTATGATGATTTCATTTTCTTATAGTTTTAATTAATTTCATTATTAGAATGATTGTATTTTCTTGTATAGAATATGTTGAACCGTATTAATATTGAATATATAGTCATTTATACACTTCCTCACCCTTGACACCTTGATTCTCCTAGAATAAACTAGAGGTGGGCAAGGGACCGGTCCCTTGCGGGCCCAGGCCTGGGCCCGTTTGGGACCAGTCACTCATGGGCCTGGGACCAGTCCCAGGCCCATGAGAAAAACCAGGACCCGGCCCAGGCCTTAGGCCTGGTCGGGACTAGTCCCATAGGCCCAGGCCCGGTCCCATGGGGTTTGGATAATTTTATTTGCCCCCCTCAATTTTTTTTTTTATATTTTGGGGGCAAAACGAAATTTTATAGGAGGTTTTTAGTATTTTTTAGGGGTTGATTAGTAAGTTTCTAAAAATTTAATTAATTTTAAAAAATAATAAATTAATAGTTAATTTTAATTTTTAACATAAATGTAATATTCACATTTCATACATTCACGCTTCACAAATAAACAATTAAGTAATTTTTTTATGAAATTATTCCTCTTCAATTTCATCGTCAACACTAGTTACATTATTCAAATCTGTATTCCTAAAGAGTTCGAGTAGTTCGGGATCTTCAGGGTGCTGTTGTAGTCTTCTTTCTGCATGAGTCCAATCCCGTAAACACGTTATCACTTCAATCATCTCATCGGTTAAAGAACATCTTCTGTCTTCAACAATC